TGTAAGTGCTCAAAGAATGTGGGTTACTCCTAAGTGCATTGTCATGGATTTGAGATTGAGAAGTGACCCAAGGGAAGAAACCCAGGTTCACTGCTGTGCCCCCAGCCCCTGGCATGTTGACAGGTGCATAGAGAATTGCAAATGTAGTCACATGCACACGCTCCTGCACGCAGGTACAGCCCAGTGTCCCAGACTCCCCGACACACCTTGGTACACTGACATGGGGGCACCACTGACCACAACCATCCGCTCCACCAGGGACGGGTAGTAGATGGAGAAATTCCAGGCAAGAAGAGCACCCCAGTCATGGCCCACGAGGATGCACTTGGAGTACCCTGAGGGTCAGAGAAGCTGGTGTGAGATGCTAGGTATGGCTAAGGCAGGGGTGGGGACATGGGTCCCAGCAAGGAGGAAGCAGGGGGGAGAGGGAAGGGGGGATGGGTGCGTGCAGGATGGGGGAGGTGGCTTCTGGGATGGGGGCATGTCTGCACCCAGGCCTTGGATGACATCCTCGATGTCCGCCATCAGCAGGTCGGTGGTATAACAGTCCACCTCCCGCGGCGCATCCGAAGGACCATAACCACGCAGGTCCACAGCCACGACGTGGAAGCGGCTCTGGAACTCCCGGAGCTGGTAGCGCCAGGAGAACCTGCCGGGTGGGCGGGGAGGGAAATTGAGTCAGGGCTCAGGCTGCACCTCCGTCCTACGCCCAGCAGAGACCATTGGCAACCCCAGCTTCCTGCTCCAGATTTCCCAGAAGGGAGGATGGGGAATCCCAGGCAGAGGCTAAGAAGACCAGCTGCATCCCCAATACAGGGCATCTCAACCTCAACACCCCTTTGTCCCATCCCTTCAGGTCCTCCGGATCCCAGGCATCCTGGCGCAGTCCCCTTGTCCCCTGGCAACCCCTCTGGGCCCTATATGCTCTGCGCGTCCCAGCCTACCCAGCCCTCATCCCCACCTCTTGGGTGCCATAGCGGTTGGTTGGTCCGAGCTCCACCTGCCCCAAGTTCCGTGCACCCCAGACGTACCAGTTCTCGGGGAAGCCGTGCAGAAATAGCATTAGGGGTCCGTTGCCTCGTCCAGCTGACACATAGTGCAGACGCAGGCCAGAGCTCTGGAGGAGGAGGGGGGCATGGTCTGAGGCCTGGGAAACCCCCCTTCCCTAGGCTTGAACCCCAGGCCTCTGTGCTGACCCGGGTAAGGATTCGACCCAGTCCCGCTCTGCTCGCTCCTCGGCGCCCCCAAGAGCATCCGCGGCCCCGACAGCACCCCCCACCCCCCGCCCAGCGCACGCTCACCTTGAGGGTCAAGAAGCTGTGCTCGCCCAGCGAGGGGTCGCTTAGGCAGGCGGGAGCCACGCGCCGGCGACGCCCGCAGCAGCCGCGCCGGGGCCGGCACAGCACGTGCGTGAGCGCGATGCAGCCGTAGACCGCCGCGGCCACCAGCGCCGCAGAGAACACGAGGCTCCACATGAAGGCGCGGAGCAGCTTCAGCGAGAGGCGCGACGGCGCCAGCAGCGCCGTCACCACCAGGTCCGGCATGTCCCCGCGCTCGGGGACGGCGGTGGCGCTGCCGTCGGGGGCCTGGGTCGGGGGCGCGCGTAGCAGTGGCGAGGCGGGGCGCCCACCGCCTTTGGTCTGGGGCCCCTCCGTGCCGTCGGGGCTTGCCGGACGCGCTGAAGGAAGAGGCGGGCGGCTAGGACCGAAACCGCCGCAGCTCGAGACTCACCTAAGTGCCAGGTAAACAAACACCTGGGCACGCCAGGGACGGGGAACAGGGCCAGGGTGCAGGGGTGGAGCCTGCGGGGACCCGGCCGCGGGAGCCGGGGAGGAGTTTGTGAGGAAAAGAGGGATGGGAGGGCCGTGGGAGGCCTGGGCGGGGCTTAAGACAGGTGCGGAGGTCTAGTAGGACTCCCGTACCAGGTGGCGGTGCCTAATACACACAAGAGGTAGATTCTAGATTCGGAGCGGGGACAAACCTGGAGCAGGAAACCCTGAGGGCAATGGGCGGAGCCAGGAGCGAGGGGGCGGGGTATATGCAGAGTAGGTGCGGCCTTCAAGCCGGAAAGGTGGACCCAACTTGGCCTAGGAGCGCTGTAAGGGCTAGGGGGCGTGGCTTGCCCGGGTGGGCGGGAGAGTGGGTGGAACCTAGAGGAGGTGAGGCCTAACATTGGGCAGCGAAGGCCGGAGCCCTGGGTGAAGGGGCTGGGCCAATGAGACAGGGGGCGGGGCCGGAACCTAATATGGCGGGTCGGGCGGGCCCGGAAGCGGAAGAAGAGGGACAGGCAATGCTATGGCTAGGATTAGGGGGCAGGCGCGGGCGATCTCGGCGGCCCGAGGAAGCCTCGGGAGCCCCGGCCGCCGCCCGCCGGGAGCTCCCCGTCCCAGAGCGAAAGACCCTCTCCTCGGCTTGGCTCCGAAGACCTAGTAGCACCTTCATGCAGCCGTGGTTCCAACGGCGGGTCCAGCGGCCTCAGCCCACCGCCGTCCTCCTGTTGGCCCAGCAGGCCCTCCGGCCCGCCCGTGCACGGCTGTGATTGGATGGCGGCGGCTATTGATGTCCGAGAGACAGGTCCCAGCCGGGGAGCCAATCCGCAAGTGGTGAGGCACGGGCTCTGGTAGCTGCCAATGGCGGCGGGACACCCTGACTCCTAGAGGGCAGGCCCGGCTCCCCAGAGGAGGACCGGGCCAACTGAGTCACTGGGGCTCTGGCGGAAAGAGGAAGCAGGGCAGGGCCAGGCATAATAGGGCCCGGTGTCACAAAGCCCCGTCCTTGCAAGGAACCAGCTTCTTCCTCCTGTTTTGCAACCTGCCTCCAAGATCCTTCAGCATTTTAGGGACGCCCGTCATTTAACCCTTATAGCAACTCTATTAAGTGTAGGTAATATTATCATATCCCTGTAGTAGAAATCATGAACCTGAAATTCGGGGATGAAGTCATTTGCCTTAAAGCTATAAATCTGGCTAAACAGCAATCCAGAATGACACGGAGAAAGACAGCAATCTGTCTGTCTCCACCTCCCTTCCTCCTGGGGGCGGCCATTGGAATGCCCTTATATCTTCTGGTGGTTGCCTAGATATCACTAAATGTGCTTCTGTAACTATTTCTTGATTTACCAACTTGGGGCATTACCTACAGACTTGCTCACATCACCAGCACTGGACATGCTATTTTTTCTGTTGGTTTCATCTAACTTTAAACCATCCACCATCCTTTGTCACCTCCTGCTCCTTCTTCTACCTCCCACTTTTATCTATATACCTTTGTATTTATTGTCAAGGCTGCTAAACATCATAGTGTCCTGGGACCATAATGAAGTCCATGAGGTTATCAAAGGTGAAGAGTGGTTTATGGTGTTCTGTCTCAGTAAACAGTGCATCTCAGAGTGGAACAGATAGATGTCTATGATTACACTGTCCCACATTGTTCTCCCTGGACTTAACCACCTACCTTTCTTTTCTTGCATGATTAGCCTAGTATCATAATTTTGGTTTCTTTTACACTTTCCATCAAATCAATTCTCTGACAATCTGATGTTCTCAGGATCTCCCAGAGTCCTCTAATCTGGCTGCATGGCTGGTGGGTGTCTGGGGACCTCCAGTCTTCCTCTGCTACACATCACTGACCCCCACCCTCACCTCACCTCCTCCCAACTCCTTCTCAAACAAAAAGACAGCGGTAGTCACAGGAAGGTAACTTTATATTCAGTACAAATGTTTATTTTTGCAATGAGAACTGCACAAAAAAAAAAAAGAACCTTTAGTATATGTGAAAAGTCTACGAATTCCCTTCTACAAATGTCTAAAGTGTTTAATACAAGTCTCAGATTCACTGACATAATTATTGGCCAAGCGATCCGTGCATACAGTACATTGGGGGCTTGTACACACCTCTTACTCTTGTATAGGACTAAGATTTCTAGTACTGTGGGAAGAATGGGGAAATGGCTGGAGAAATTAAATAGATCCCAGTTCTAATTACAACCCAGTTAGAGAAACACCCATCAAGGAGGTGTGAGGAAGGCCATGGCAGAGTTAAATCTTCAGCAGGAAGGTGCATAAAAAACCATCTCTCCAGCTGAACAGTTGGACCGGCCTGGGGAAGTTTCTGAACAAAACAAGGAACAAAAACCAGGGGGAGGGATGAGATGGAAGAAACCCCAAAGAACACTTGAACCGGCACAGTGGTATATGAGGAAGTGCCTGGGTGGGTAGGGATGTCAATGAAGTGGGGGGGCCCCCTGGTTGGATGCCCAAACTACACCCTCGCTGGGAGGTTTGGCAGATCTAAACACAAGACAATAAAGGGCCTTTCAGGCTGAAAAGGGGGGATGTAGGTTAATAAACAGTGCTAGAAATATTTCAGTTTGTCTCTGCATACATATAAATTATATACTTGTATCTTACATCCTAGGGGGCTGTTCTTGGGTACCACCCGTGCCTTGTGGGTAGGGCATGTGCATACAGGTGGGCACACAGGCAGGGCTGGCCAGGAGGCCACCAGTGGGCTTTCTCGGGCAGGAATGTGTGCGCGTGTGTGTATGTGTGTGGGGGACAAGGATCCTATTTGGGGGGATGTACGCTTATCTAAGAATATCTGGTTAACCCTGAGCTTAAATGAAAGGAGTTAGGTAGAGGCAAGCAAGGTAGGAGAAGTGGCCCAAGTCCTTTGGTGAGTTGGGGACCAGGACGGAGGAGGGTGAAGGGGAAGAATACTGTCTGGAGTTTGGCCAGGGTTCTGCTGGAGCATGTCGCCCACCTAGGCCAGGGTCCACAGAATGGGTACCTGGGCTCCGTGTCACAGCTTCAGCTTGGGGTAGCTGCTACTAGCCTGAGCGGCTCCTGCCCAGGGAAAGCAGGGACAGGCCAAGGGAGAGAGGCTAGGTAGCTCCTGGTGGTAATTATTATATAGAGGTGGTCTGGGGTCCAGAGGGGGGCCCTGGGCCTAGCCTAGGCAACAGTTGGTTCACAAAGAAATGTCAGGGAGACGCCAGCATTAAAAAAGAGAGATGTGTTTATTCCATGATCAGTACAGACCAAATGCATATTCACCGTATGAAAGTCAAACCAGTCAGCGACTCCAGAGTTTGGCCAACACCGAGGCACCAGCGTTGTGGTGTAGAGTGGGTTCTCATGGCACGCATAACCTCACCAAGGGCTCCAATTATAAAATTAAAAAAAAGCGTGGGAAGGAGCAGCCGGCTGGTTGGGGCTGGGCACAGGGCCGGGGAGCCTCTGCCTCAGTCTGTGGCCCGCCCTCAGCGCCTGGTGCCCACCTTGTCCCCTGGCCCTTCCTTTATTGGTAAAAAACAACTCAAACAGATTTGACATTAAAAAACAAAGAAGCCAACGAATGAAGGGGTAGGGGAGGAAGAGAAATAAAAGAAATCGCGGCTTTCTGGTTTAATAATTAAAAATAGACTAATAAAGTCTGAAACTGAGTAAAATATAGGCAGGTTTTTTTTGTTTTTTTTTTGTTTTTTTTGTGTTGTGTTTTGTTTTTTTTGTAGATTTTTTTTTTAGTTTTTTTTTTTTTTTTTACACCAGTTTGGTGGAGTCACCAACAAACTTCAAACAAAGATATGCCAACTATGTTCACTATACAGTACAGCCACGGTCACACACTACCCACAGCGCGGTGGCAGCCGCCGCTCAATGAGGAGACGATCACACCATTTTGGAGATAAGCAGTGCCATTGTGTCTGGAGGAGAAGAGAGAATTAAAAATAAAATAGAATCCAACGAAAAATATATATATAGAAAAAAAAAAAAACAGAAACACAGGTGGGAAGGAACTGACTTTGGTTGGTGGCCTCACTCCCCAGGAGAGGCCTGCCCACACCGCGCGGGACAGTCACCTCGCCCCAAACTGCCATGGACACACACACCTCCACGGCACTATTCCCTTTTGCACAAGCGAACACTTACAGAGAGCGGCTCTCGATTAAAGGCTTGTGGGGGGCAGGGAGGGGTGGGATCTGTTCAAGGCAAAGTCAGTGCCAGCAAGGGGGTGGGCAGGCCTCGCCTGCCTCCAGTCCACGTGGGCCTGCCCTGGCCTCCTGGGAGTGGGCGGCAATGGCTGGGGTGTGGGGAAGAACTCCCAGTGGGTGGGACGTCACAAACGTCATGTTCTCGGGGACAGAAAACCAGTCACGGTGGCGGCAGCAACGATGTCCTGTGTATACTGTGTAGACATTTGGCGGAGAGAAGGGCCTCTGTCCCCTATGTGGGGACGCAGGGCTTGGGTCCGGCCGGCACTTGCTCATAACGAGGCGTGCTCTGAGCTGACGTCCTGTGAGGGGGTGGCGGGTGGCAGGACGTCTGTCCGGCTGGCCGTAAGGCAGACAGGCTCTGCGATCCTCAGCTGCCCGTCAGGCCTGCCCCGGGCATAGCATGCAGGAGGGCCAGGCCCAGAGACACCCCCTGGCCGCTGCTGCCGCCTCCACCACTGCCCCTAACACTATGGAAAGTCAACGTTTTGCCAGAAAATCAAAGTCAGAAGCCACCTAGGTGCTCTCAGAAAAGATTTTCTTCAAATATTGACAATAGATCACTCTGGAAATTCATGTCAATGGTAGCTGCCATCTGAAGGAGAGAGGAAGGAAGGAGGGAGTGAGGCAGGGTGACCCAGCCACCCACTGCCCCTGCTGCTGCAGTGGCCCTCGGACCTCCCAGGGACTGTTCCCTCAGTGCCCGCCCTGCATCCTCGTGGCACGGGGCCATCACGCCGAGCCCGAAGGCTGACTGCAGACCAGCAGGGCCTGGGGTCCCCGGCTCCGCACCCTTTCCAGGCCCCAGGTCCCCATTCCCAGCCCCTCCAGGGTAGACCCCTGCCCAACCGTCCCTCTGGGGCACCCCCGACTCACAGCTTCCCGGCGCCTTCGCTCCTGCTCCCGCTTCCGGGCCAGCTCCCTCTGCTGGTCCAGCATGGACTGGGGCTGGGAGCTCTGGGCCTGGGGGGCGGCGGCGGCGGCGGCAGCCACCGCGGCTGCCTGTTGCTGCTGCTGCTGCTGTTGCTGCTGCTGCTGCTGCTCTTGCCGCTGCTGCTGCTGCTGCTGCTCCTGGCGCCGGCGTGCCTCCTCGTGGGCCCGCCGGGCCTGCTCCAGTGCGTCTTCGTCCTCCCGGCTCCTGGGCAGGGGCAGGCCTGTCAGCCTGGGGTCCCCAGCGTAACCCCAGGAGTCCCGCGCCCCGCGGGGAGCCCTGCCCACCTCATGCGCTCCTGCCGCAGCCGCTCCTTCTCCTTCTCCGCGTGCTCTGCCTGGGCCTTCAGGGCCTTCTCGCGCTCCTCCTTTTCCCGAGCAGCGCGGCGGAACTGCTCGAAGCTGTCGCTCGACGACTTGGCTGTGGAGGACGGGGTGGTTGGATGCTTCTGCACCAGGCTGGCCCAGGAGCCCATGTTCTTGATTTTCAGGTCCTGCAGGGCAGAGAGGCCAGGGGCAGGTGAGGGGCCTGCTGTGCCCGAAGGCGATGGCAGGAGGACATGCCCACCATGGTGCTGTTCCGGGACAAGGGGCGGGGCACCCGCGGGCCTCCCGTCCCTACCTTTTTGGGTGCAACTGGAGTCTTCGGCTCCTGTTTCTGTTTATCTTTGTCAGGGGCCCCTGGTGGGGGTGCGTTCTGCTCAGGGGGCCGGATCACAGGCCTCCCAACGTCCACAGGCTTCATCTCCGGCCCTGGAACACAAAGAGCCCATGGGCCTGGGCCACCAGCAAACTCGTGTCCAACACGGGCCTGGGGGCCTGAGTCCCAGCTGTGGGCAGGGAGGGCACTCACGCTGGGGCAGGTGGACAGGGGCCTTGATGCTCTCCGGGTGCTTAGGGGGCTCCGGCCGCAGCGAGGGGCTGAAGGGTTCGCTGCGAATGATGGGTGAGTGGATCTTCTCCTCCTTCACCACCACCAAGGGCTGGGGCTGGACCACGGAGGCCGCACGCAGCTCCTGGGACAGCACAGGCACGGTGGCCGGTGAGGTCGGCAGGCGCCCCCTGGCCGGCCCTGGGGGCCTTGGCCCAGCCCTGGCCTTACCTGCTTTTTAGGCTGCACGCTTTGCTGGGGTGGAGACTGGCGGGTCAGGTTCTGGAACTGCGGCATCTGGGGGGAGGGCATCATAAGCGGGGAGGGGGCTTCGCGGAGATGACCTAGGACAGGGGACAAGAAGTGTGTCATGGGCTTGAGGGCCACTTGGGCCTTGAGAGAATCATAACGGGGGAAAGGACAGGCTGGAAGTGGCAAAAGCACGTGGCCAGCCAGGCCATAGGGTCCACTGGCCAGGCTCAAGAGTGGAGACCCACGGACGCCAACCAGGCCTGCTGAGGACAAGCCGCCTCCCCCTGGGGGTTGGGTACCCCGATGCCCTGCGCGCGGGGCCCACGGCCCGCTCAGCATGCAGCAGGCTCTGGGAGCCCTGCAGCGCCAGTCCTGGTGTCCGAGTCTCCTGTGTGTCAGACTTACAAAGCTTTGAGAAACACAGATCCTGACACATCGGTCTCGAGTGGGGTTGGGTATCAGTACTTTCCAACCCCGCAAAGCTCAACCCAGGCGCCTGCTTTTGTCCCTGTGTCCTGGTCTCCGGGGGTGGGGATCTCAGGACCCTCCCCATAGTCCTGCTCCCTAATTTAGCCTGCCTGCCCCACAGAGGGGGAAGCCTGGAGCTAGGGTTCCTTTAAGAAACCGGTTAGCCTGCCACCCACGTCCAACCCAAGGCTGGGGCGGATCCAGGCAGCCACGGGTGGGAACGTACGGCACAGGTACTACTGGCCTTTGGGAAAGGAACAACGACACTTAAATCTAACTCCTCAGCCTCAGCGGTGAGCAAATGGAGCCCTGGAAGAGCCAAGTCCTGCCGCCCAACATGTGGACACCCTCTGCCTGAATCCCTGCAGGAAAGGGGCCTTGATAAACCACCCACAAGAGGAAACTGCCTCTCTGCAACGCCCCGGTGCCTGGTCAGGTCCCATGCCTCACGCTCGACAATCTAACCTGGCTCCACATGCTAGCTCTTCCACTGATGACGCCCAGAGCCCTCTTGCGAGCCACTGCCTGCCAGCACAGGCACCCCTGCGTCTCCCAGGGGCCCCACTGGCCAGAGGTACCTATAGCAGACTATCACGCCCCAGATGTGGTGGGCCCACTTGCCTCTTTCTAGAGCCAGGGCCCGCCCCTAACCCCAGGAGGCATCACAATTACCTGGAGCTCACATGGTGGCAAGGCCCACCATCCCCTGTAGCTGATTTTTCTGGCCTTAACATTTCCTTCGATTCCAGCACATCAGGACCGCTTTGGACACTGCCATCCCTGTTTGGTGCTGGGAGGCTTTGGGTCTGGCCCCCAGCGATTGACAGGCACACAAATGGGACAGCCTGCAACCTAGGGCAATGGCCTCGGCAACACTTGCTGAGGCCGACTTGGGCAACGGCAGGCCGTCGGGTCTGTGGTCTATAGGAACCTCCCACCTGCTGGCAGCTTTAGAGGGGAGGCCCAGTGGTTCATGGATGGCACCTGAAAGCTGGCTGGGTGCCCAGGGATGCCTGCTGAGCTTCCCTGGGAGTCTGACAACTTTGCTTTTGGCCCAAAGTCCCCAGCAGGGTTCCAATCCACGCCACTCCCTGTGCCCCATCCTAGGCTATAGGAGCTGGGGTGGGGGTCCAGGGACTAGAAGCAGAGTGGGCCAGAGGGGACCTGCCCTGGCCTCTGTGGGTCCTACGCACACCCAGTGCTGGCTCTTCTGAAGGCCTTGCATCCCTGTCCATCACCTTCCCCACAAGGAAGCCCAGAGTGAGCAGCGGCAGAGCTGCCGGGCCCACACCAGCCTTTCCCAGGGAGGACAGAGAGCTGCTCTCGACTCAGAGCATGCAGCAATCCACTTGGCACCAAGCTGTTTCGGCGAGGTTTAGAAGTAGTCGCTGCTTTGTTGCTCAGTTTGCAGGCAGCGCTCGGTGCACCCCTAAGACAGACTGCAAAGTCTACACTGCTGAGTCCAGGAACCTCCACCCTGACCCTGGAGCATCACCAGGCCACTGGCATCAACTGGAATGTCCCCCTGCCAGGGCCGGCCAGGACACTCTGGTTATTAACACTTAACATACTGACTGCCACAGTAGAAAAAAATTTTTTTTCCTTGGGGCCACAGTGTTTCATTATGAAAACAGAATAAAACTTCAAAAACGAAACGATCCTTTCCAATTTAATGAAAAATTTGTGGTTTTTTATTGTTCTGTGCGTGAGTTATATGCAACTCGAAAACATGAATTCATGCAGCTCCCCAGGTGAAAAGATGAGTTACATATGCTTCACGAGGACCTGGGCTCAAAACTAGCGTGAGTTAAATACAACTCACACGGTAATTAATGTGTTAAACGCTCCTGCCCAGTGCTCCCCGCCATGGCGTCCTGGATTTGCCAAGTGGGCCTCGCAAGGCCAAGAGCAGGTACCCCTGGGTCCCCCAGGGCCCTACAGGCTGGAGGTACCCATTTTCGCGGGCCTGGAGCAGACCACAATGCCCCAGGCCTGCCCCCAACTCTGCCTGGACTCCATTCCCCACCCTGCTTACTCAACTCACTCCTAAGTGTCCTATGGTCACCTCCTCCAGGAAGCCTGCCCCAAGCCCCAGAGGCGGATCAGATACCTCCCTGGGCTCTGGCTTCCCCAGCTAGCAGGGAATGCGGGCATGTTGTCACATTCCTGAGTAAATTCTAAGAGAAGGACCAACAGGGGCATTATTCTGGGCGATCGGCTTGCAAACAAGACAGATATCTGATAGGGACGCCGCAGGAAGCACCGACGCCCCCTTTCCAGGCACCCCCTTCAACTAGCCAGAGTCTTTGAGGCTCAACTCTTAGCCCACTGCAGTCTGAAGTACAAGCTAACACTCCTGGCTTCTCGAGGCCAAAACTCTGGGTCTCCCTGGAGTCCTGGGGTAGGGGCCGCTTACCTGTTGAGTAGGGGTCCGACTTGTGATGCCGGGGTGAAGGATGATGCTGAATGACTTGCTGAGGCTTGGCGGGCTGTGGTGGGGGCGGCTGCTGGCCTGGGGGCGGGTGAGGGGGCTGCTGGCCCTGGGGTGGTGGGGGCTGCTGGATGTGCGTGGAGAACTGCATGGGCTGCAAGTGCACAGGCCGTGGCGGGGGCTGGTGCTGCTGCTGGGGTGGGGGCTGGGACTGCACCTTCACGGAAGGGAGTAGCGGCGTGGGGGGCTGCACCTTCTGCAGCTGCTGCAGGTACAGCTGCATCTGCATGGAGGTGAGGGGTGCGGCAGGTGGCTCTTCGTCCTCCAGCAGCACTTGAGGGGGTTGAGCCATGGGGGGCTGTGGGAGCATGGGGGGCTGGGCCAGGGCGGGTGACACGGCTGGGGGCCGGGCGGGCTTGGGAGGCAGGGCGGCGGCTCGGTTGCTGGGCCGCGATGGCTGCTGGGGCAGCGCGTTGTGCAAAGCTGTAAGGACACAACACCATGGCAGTGAGGCCTGCATGGCTGCAGCCCCAACCCGGCTTTTTTGTCCCGTGCTGACCTTGTCTGGACTCTAGTGGCCTCCTACTGGCCTCCCTCCAACCGGCCAGCTCTCCCCACCCTGCATGACCCCAGACTCCGGAATAAAGACGGCTTCCAGCAAGGGTGCAGGGTCAGGCTCCTGGCTTGTGTCTTCCTGACTTATGGTCGGTCTCCCTCCCTCCTTATGCCCCCAATGCTCATGCTGGCCCTTCAGGTCTCCATGCAGAGCTCTGTCACCCACTCGTACAACCCTTTCCTGGCCCCGTAGGTGGGCAAACCCTGCCCTTTTATCCCCCAGGTACATGCTGTCCAGGCTGCACAGGAGGAGTCTGATCAGGATGAGCTTGCTTCCCCAGCCCTGGCCAGGAGCTGCAGAGGAGTCCCGTCTTTTCTCAGCTAACACCTAGCCTAGCAGAAAAACGGAACCCAAATCTTCTGAATCAACATACTAACTCCATGCAAGTTGTGTCCCGGGGCATCTCCCTTAATTTCCAAGATGGCCCAGAGTGCCCAGTCACTGCGTGGAGGACCAAGGTGGGAGAACACCCGGTGGGCCACGGCTCACCTGGAGGAGAGACTACCGCGTGCTGGTTGAGGTGGGGTGGAGTGCTGTGCTCGGGCGGCTGGGGCAGGTGAGGGGGCAGCTCGGGCTGCGGCAGGTGCAGGATGGGCTGGGTGAAGTGGCCGATGGGGTCGAAGACGCTGCCTGGAAGCTGGGGCTCCAGGACGGGCACCTGGGTGGCGATGAAGGGCGGGGGCGAGGACTTCATCGCAGGCGCTGCCTGCTGTGGTAGGGAGGGCGGGGGCGGAGGGGGTGGGGGCTGCTGCTGCTGCTGCTGCTGCTGCTGCTGCTAATGATGATTATTGTGGTGGTGGTTTGCTTATAAAGATTATGTGATGATGGTTTTGATCATGATGGTGGTGGTGGTGGTGCTGCAGACAGAGACAGAGACAGGCTGACGTCAGGCAGGCAGGACAAGCCCAGGCCAGGCCCAGGGTCCCGCTAGGGCCTACGCAGCCAGTGGAGGAGGCCCCTGAGCCCACGTACCTTCTTCTGCTCCCTCCCAGGGTGCCCCTTCTTTTTTGACTTCGGAGCCATCTCTGCAGAGGAAAAGAGAAGGTGGTGAGGCTCTGGGAAAGACGAACGTGAGCTGGCATGGACGCAGAGACAGGAGAAAACCGGGCACGTTCAGAAAAAGGACCAGTGATGCTGAGAGGGTGGCCGGGTTCGGTCCAGGATGAGCTGGTCATCACAGGGAAGGGAAAGACACGTGAGGCGTCACCTACCCATTGGCCTGCTGTGTTTCCTTGCAGGGACTGTGCCTGAGAAAGCCTCTCCTGCCAAGCGGCACACCACCGGCGCCATTAAAGGCTGAGCCATGGCTGCATAGGAAGCTGAGCTACGGAGCCCTCACCCAACGCCTGCCCTACTTGCAGGTCAGATGCTGCTATGGTGACCAAGTGTCTGCGTGCTCTGGACCCCAGCCTGCTCTGTTTTGGAACAACCCGTGCTGTTGGAAATGATCACGTTTGTTTGATGGTTGAGGAAAGTGAGGCTCTGAGAAGTGAGGGGATTTGTCCAGAGTCACGCAGCTAAAAAGAAGCAACTCAGGGGCCTCCAACTGCACGGCCTACTGAGGCCCGCTCCTTCCCGTCCTCTGAGGAGAAGCAGAGATGCTCAGGTTGGGAGTGACAAGGGTGCTGGCAATGTAGCACGGCCTGGCCACGGAATCCCGGAAGTGCTGAGGAAAGTGCCAGCAGGTGACAATGGAAAGACCCATGGTGTGTGCATTTTTAGGGAAGGAAGGAACAGGCTGGCCTCCCTAGAATGACAAGGAACGAACAGGGTAGGTGCTTGCTGCCAGGGACAGCAGAGGAGGACGCTAGCCAGCTTCTCTTTGCTCATGGGAGATGGACCTCGAAGTCCCTGCCCTGGGACATAGTCCACATGGTGCAGAGAGAAGGCAGCACATGCCCTGGCTCCTTGGGAGCTGACAGCTTGGCACCTCCACTGTGTGTGCTCCAGAGCCAGTGTGCCCACCTCTGTCCCCACCCCAGAGGTTTATGCTAAGGGACTTCTCCCAGCTGGATGCCCCAAAGCCAAACACAGACAATGTGTGAGCCCTAGAGAGGGGAGACGAGCCCTGGCCAGTGCTCCCAGGCTGGCAGGTAACATAGCTGCCAACCACTGAGTGGAGGCTGGACCTGTGGTCTGGTGCCTTTAGGATTCCCTTCACCGAGAAACACCTCCTGGCTCTGCCTGGCTTCCCCCGAGTTCCTTGCCAGGGTGCCAGCTCTTGCTGCTGGTGTTGGAGGACACATGCTTTGCCCAAATCAAGGCTACTTCTGCTTGGAGCTGCTTCATGAAGGGCCATGCTAAGCTTCTGTGAGGTCCACGGCTCCCGGGGTGCAGTGGGCCACCAAAAGGGATGAGAAGGAACCTTGTGCCCTGCGAGAGCTCAGCACTCCATGCAAGAGACAAGACACGGACACAAACCCCAGCAGCTACAGACACACATCCTCTTACAAATGGCAAAGGGCAGCAACTGGGAATGCCTGGGAACTGGGGGCCCAACCCCAAACCCGGATGCCAGGATACAGGGCTCTGGACTCTGGGTGAGGACGAATGTGGTGAGGGGTGCTCTCGCGGGCGAGATGTGCGTAAGGGGACAGTTTGGGTAAATGTGCAGGGTCAGGGCCGGCTGCTGTAGCGAGGAAGAGGAGCGCTGGCTGCAGAGGCCCCAGGACCATGCCAGGGGAGGTGCGGTCCCCAGAGCCCTGATGCCTCACAGCAGCTGAGGCCACTGAGCCAGGGGTGTGGGACGAAAGGCCAGAGCTCCTCTAGGACAGGCTCCTATCCCAGGATGGTTGGGGCAGCTGCTTGCATGCTGGGCATGCCTTTGAGGGGACCTGGGGACAGGGGAGGGAAGCCAGGGGAAGCAGCAAGGCCACTATGTGAAGTGTGGCCAGGAGAAGCCTCAGAGATGTGCCCAGATGCCACCAAGTCATGGGGAGAAGGTTTGGAGGGGAGTGGGGGACACCAGGGTCAGTGTCTCATGGCCTTGGAGGAAGCCTTGTTTTTTCCCACGATAAAAGAGAGGTGGTTGCTCTGACCCCTCCCTATCTGCTTGCAGGCTGCGAGGAGAGGCCGCAGGAGAAGGCATGGGGGCAAAGTTCAGTGTGGGGCCTCTGGGGGTTCCAGGGAGTGTGTCTTGGCTGCCTTGGAAAGGTCACAGGGAGTATATCCCAGGGCTCGTCTCCAGGGCCCCTCGGAAACGCTGGGGCACCTAGGCAGGGCAGGCCTGGAGTGGGGAGAGAAGGCAGGAGGCACACGGCAGCCTCCAGGATGAGATGACTTAGGGGCTGGTGGTGGGGACCGAGGGGTGCTGGTGCCGATTTGAGGGCAGCCCTGTCTGGCTCACGTGGCCCGAGCTTCGTGTCAGAGTTACCAGTAAGAAGACAAGACGGGAAGTGCACGACTTCACAACAGACCAGCCCCAAGACACCCCCCACACAAAACTCTCTAGAAAGGGTTACATGAAGATGGCCTCAAGCATGGTGTGATCTTTATTCCATGACAATCTTCAACTCAACACAAATTTCATCTTTACATAGGATGGTAATTGTACAAAGAAATAAAATGTTTTCGTAAAATCTGATTAAAACACTGATTTCTCCCACCCCAACAACCCCCTCCCCCGGGCCCCACTCCAGCAAAGGAGACAGGATGGAGGACAGGGTCAGGGCAGAGGAACGGAGCTCTCACCAGCGCTGACTGGCTCCCACCCACCCCCACCACAGCTCCTCAGGACCCACAGCCAGCTGGTGTAGCCGCCGCCAGCACCTCCCGCTGCCCACACACACAGGAGGCTGCCAACAGGGAGAAGTGAGTGGGCACTGTCCTCTCTGGCTCTGTTTCTGGGGCATCAAGCACAGGTGACGGTTTAAGTCTAAAGAGCTTTCAAGTTCAACGGGCCCTGGGCGTTCTCTGCCAGATGGGAGCCCGACAGGCAAGAAGGGCGGGATCCCTGGAAAGCCTGCGGTCACAGCCCGTGTGCGCAGAGGGGTGGAGGTGGGGGCAGCACACGGGCCCAACACTGTGGGAATCCAAGCTGTCGTTTGGTCCAAGACAGCAGAATCTTCCCAGAAAGACAATGCCAGCAGCTTCCCAACCATCCTGTGGGAATCTGTGGGCATGAAGGCTCCCCCGCCTGCTCCCATCCCAGCCAGGCCAAGTTGCACTGGGAACACATTCAGGCGTAGGCCAAAGGGCAGCTCAAAATAGTCTGTTTGGCAAAAGTAGCTTGACTAGAAGCTGGACGCCCAGAGAGGATCAGGAGCAGCCTGGGACTCCAGAGCAGTGCTGCGGGGCTCTGGGAGGCTCTGGTAAGGCTGAGGCTAGACCCGACGGCCAGGGCAAATCTGGGGCAGTTACAGCAGCTTGAGCCCAAGAACCCAAGGAGCTGGGGAGAGCTGCCAGGGCTTCCCCAGGCAGGCAGGGAGCCAGGGCCTGGGGGCCTGCCGATAGTGAGAGCACCTCCTCAGCCTGCTTCCAGCTCCAGAAGATGGACAGGTCTTTAGGAAGTACACACAAATTACAATTAAAAAAAAAAAAAAAAAAAGAAAAGCCCCCAAAATGCAGACACAGTTATTTAGGGGACTTTTTATATCAGGCAGTTTTCTGCTGAGATGCTGGATTTGTGCCCAAAAAAGGGCCGATATTTATTTTTAGAGCAAAAAGCCTATTCAGTGCCCAGGGGAGGGCTTGGATGACACGGCCAACCTTGTCTGCCCCAGCCCCAGGGGCTGTCATCATTCTGGGAGGATGTCCACAGTGGTAATGCCCCTCAGAGATGTGCACTGGACAGCCTGAGGGCCTGTGATGCCCTCTCGTCCACTGGCCCAGATTCTGCCCCTGCCTGGGGTGAGCATGACAGGCCAAGGGCCCCTTCACCAGTGGCCTGCCTGGCGGCTGCTGCACACTGCAGCCGGCTTCATGGAGCAGAGGCTTACGACCACCTGGGAGGGATGGGCAGCTGCCTAGGAGGTATTTCCCCTACATGACTTGAGAAGAAGACAAAGAAATTGGGAAAATGCCTTCCAGGTAACTTAAGCATTTGGAAATGCACAGGAACAATGGAGAGGAAGGACTTCAGGAGGCTGTGGGTCAGCTGTGGCTCAAGCCTCACAGGACACCAGACAGAAGGTGCACTGTGGGATAGCCCCGCCAAGCCTTCGAGGCCCAGCGGCCTCACTGCTAAAGCACACACTCCTTACGGAACAGCTCTAGAGGCCAGAGTGCTCTTCCTCACACGGAGCGAGAGCTCTCCCGGGCTAATGTCACTGCGAGGTCCGGGAGGGAAGCAGTTAGGGTTCAGAGTCCCAGAAAAAGAGGGAGGGGACGAAGAGAGAAAACACACTTGGGATGGGGCTTTGCACATGGAACAGCACCACATGTATGCATGTGTGGGGGGATTGTCATCACCCTCCAGGAGATGTCACCCACCCAGAGAACCCCAGGTGACCAGGGAGGCTGGGCGGGACAGCCAGGCAGTCTTTACACAGGGAGGCTGGCCAGGCAGGCAGCCTTCCCAAAGGCGGGACTAGGCGTGTGCTGCTGGACATGACTAATCCACCCCAGGGGACAGGCCCAGGGCTCTGAGGAATTCCATAACTTGATGGAGTCCTGTCCCTTTCACGGAAGAAAATGGACTTAAGCTATAGCTTGCTGGGAAGGAATCTGGAACTGAAGACCGTTTTATTAAGAGTCCGTGTCCAATGATTAGGCAGGACCTACGTAGAGGGAGAGAGAAACCAGTGTGAGAGAAATGGTGTGGAATGTACCGTTCAAAGTCACAAGAACAGAAGAACCGCAGACCGAGCCAGCCTCCTGTGCCCCGGTGGCTGACAGGGCATGAGAACGGCGCTGGAGACCAGGAGCCCCACCCCCTGCCTGGCCAGTCTCGGCGGGGACAGACCCACCTTCCCCCCTTCAGAAAGGCCACGGATCCAGCATGGGTGGACATCTCCAAAACCGCTCCGAGACTGTTTACGCTGCTAGACAGAACTGCTCTCGCTAACGAGATCCATGTGTGCCCCCCATGAGCACCCGCCGGCGTTTTCTTCGCTGCTCCTGAAGCTGCTCCTTTTTGAGAGGTGCCTTGCCTGTCCCACCAGCCAGGTGTGGCAAGCCCACCAGGCGTCCACTGGTTCTGAGCTGATCTCCCTGGGGGCCGTGTATTGTATAGTCTCTCATGGTCTCTGAGGAAGGAGGCGCTTGCTGGAGGGTCCCAAGTCCAGACCTCCAGCTGAGAGGGAAAGAGCCAACAGCCTCACCTCTGCACTCCTCTAGATCCCCAAAACCAAAAGCACAAGCTATAAAGAGAGGAACCAGTGACATGCGTTGCTGAGGAGAGCAAAAGGAAACAGAAACAGGTCAAGGAAGAAAAGTCTCATCCTTTTTCTTTTCTTTTCCAGGGCATCCAACATGGCTTCCTGGACCAGGGAGGAGCACTGGGCTTGTTCCCACCCACGCAGCAGAGCGGATGCCTCTGCCGGAGTCACGGATGCAACTGACACACTATCCCTGGCCCCCAAGTGTATGCATGGGAAAAACCCGCCCACCAGTGGCCTCTCACTCCCGGCTACATTCCACAAGGCTCGCCCCCTCACAGGCCCGTGAAGCCCCAGAATCCCTCCAGCTGCAACTCCTAGAGGGTGTGTGTGGGATGTCACCTGGCTGTGCACACATACTGGCTGCAGCCCCACCTTTCAGGTCTCTTTCTACTCCCACCCATTCCAGGGGCCTGACCCCTTCTCCCCAAGGCAAGTGCCACACTCTTGAACAGGCAAGCAGCAGGCTCTGAGATGTGACTGGGAACGAGTTCCTCAAAGACCTGGGGGTCAGGAAGCCGAGGCTGGCTGTGTGGTAAGAACACCCCATGGCCTCTGTCTCTACTTCCCGGCTCAAATCTTTCCAAAACATCAAGCATTCCTTTTTCCCCTGGAGCTATTAAGAAACACCCACTTGCACCAATCCTGGGAAAAGGAAACTAGGAGACTAAAATAGCTGGGCTGTGCTCCTGGCTGCAACTAGAAGACCAAGCCAAAGTCGGAGAGGGTCTCCCCATACCCCCTGGCACTGTCCCAGCCCAGGGATCTGGGGGTAGGGGGTGCTCCTGAGAAGGACACAAGCTGTGGGGCCACCCCTGCCCACAAAGACCTGTGGATGGCATTTAGGAAGAGCCAGACATCAGCAACATGACAAGTGCGAGCTGGAGGGCAGAGTCCTAGGACATGCCCTGCCCCACATCCAGGCAGACCCAACCCCAGCACTGGTGACAGCAAAGCTTCAGCTCTGCCCACAGCCCACCTGGGAAGCAGTGGGAAGGGGAGAACCACACCTCCCTCCTTCAGCCTGCCCAGCCCAGGTCTATAGATGCCCTGGGGTGAGGGGAGGGTGGCATTTGTGCCCCACCTCCGCCTGCCCCAATAGTGAACCCTCAGCAAGCTCCAGGCTTCAGCTGCCACTGTAACTCAATGGAAGACCACAGCCCTACTAGTAACAGCTGGGTTCAGAGAAAGTGGTAGGGCTGGCCCCTGGCACTGCACGCTGCTGGGGCAGGAGGCAGGGGAATACGGGGGGCCCCGGGACGAAGCTGGGAAAGCAGCTTCCTGCCCCCCTCCCATCTGTCTGTGCACCGCCTCCCTGAACTGCAGCCTGGCCCCAGAGGACCAGCCCCACATCCCATCAGTCTACAGCATCCTTGTCTATGGACAGCTGCCAGAGTAGGGGTCCATGTACCGCCCCCACCCCAATCTAGTGCCTCTGTTCGGTTTCTTTTGGTGATTCATGTCTCAGGGCCGTGTCAGCAGAACTGACCCTTAGAACAAGTGACAAAAATAGGCCCTTTCAGGAATTTCGGCTCCAATCCAAATGGAAACACAAGAACAAGGAGGGCAAAACAATTAAGCCCCAAAAGACCAAAGAGAAACACCTTCAATACCCACCCCCATCCTGCCCTACTCCCCCCCACCTCCCCAAGGCAGAGCTGCCTATAACTGGCCACAGACATTGGGGCTGCCCGGCTTCCTGGGCCCAGGAGAGCAGCTGCCCCCAACCCCTGCCAGGAAGAGTGTGTGGGATGCGGTGGCGGAAGGCTGTTTTCACTGGGGCGTGGGTTCCCGCTTTGGGATCTGCTGCACAAAACCCACGCAGTGGGCCCTTCCTGAGGGCAGAAGTACCCTGCCGGCCCAGACACAGCTCATCCAGTGCACACAGAAGGAAAAGGAAAAGCTCCTGTTTGCCGGCTGCCCTGAGGGTCAGGATGGTGAAGACAAAAGGGAGCCAGGCAAACCCAAGGTGGGGAGGGAGCCTGGGAAGAGGGAGACGCCAGAGCCCAGGCAGCCCAGCACAGCAAGGGCTGAACTGCCAGAGCCGGGAGCCTGGGAGCCGGCGGCTGCAAGCAGGCTCCAAGACTGTAAATCTTGTCCTCCTTCCCGCCAGAACAGCTGTTCCCAGGACTCTCAGATTACTTGTTGCACAATCTTCCCACTTTCTTTGGGGGGTGGGGGGGTGAAAAAACAAAAAAATCTCAGCAGCAGCACGGAGCTGCTGGAAATGCCGTCATGGCCACCCCCACAGAAGGCGGCAGTGGGAGGGGTGCAGGGCACTCACTCAAGAAGCCAGAAGTATTCCCACCTAAAGTAGAAGAACCTGGAAGAGGGACGTGGGGGCCAGGGACAAAGGCCACAACCACAGCACCCTAAGGTGCCTTGTCGGGGCCAAAGTAGTCCCCTCATGGCCAATTTCAGCTTTTTGAGGTTTTCTTTTGGTCACTAGGATCCTTAGATGAAAAGGCTGCAAAGCCCCTGGTAGCAGCAGTCTGCTAGAAAATGCAGGAGTCGCAAAAATCCTGAGGCTTGGCTGAAAGTGAAAAGTCACCGGCTACCAGGAATGCTAACTGGACCCAAGAATATGGCCATTCACCCCATTCAACCCTAACCCTAATCCCTCCTGGGCAGCCGTGGGGTGCAGCGCCCTCTGCTGGGCAATGCATAGAAAGCACCATGGGGTGGGTGAGGGGGGAGAGAGGGGAGAGAGAGAGAAAAAAGGGTAAAGGATGGTGATGGAGTGCCACTGGCCCAGCGAGCTGTCCAGGGCATTTTCTGCACACGATCATGCCAGAGATACAGAATGTGGCTTAAGGGATTTCATCTCATTTGGGCCCATCAAAACGGAGGTAGTCCAGGGCATCTGGGGTCCTGGGCAATCCCTCGGCCCAATCCAAGGTGAGACCCTTCACTCACTTGGGAAGCAGAAGGCATTTGGCTGTGCAAGGCCCAGAGGCACCCCTGTCCCCACCCATCCTACGCACATGGACTTCGGAGCAAGGTGGCTCTTCGCAGCTGCCGTGAGAGATCCTCAACCTTCCCTGGCACGATCAAAGTGTTATCTACATGCACTGGTTACGTGGCGGTTAGCACTTATTTCCAGTTAGAATAAAATTCCGGAGGCGGGATAAGGTCCACGGAAGAGCCCACGAGGAATGTTTGCTGCCCAAACATACATGTCCCACTGTGATCTGCACTCCCCTGCCTGCCAGGGGGAGTGCGCCTGAGACCCTGGGGCTGGCTCTCGGTGGGCAGCAGCACACCCAGCTCAGCTGACGGAGCCGCACCTGCAACCCCCCTTGCCCTAGACACAGACTGTCAGCTCTGCCTCACAGCACACACTGGTCGCCAGGCCTCCTGGGCACCTTTGGCTCCTTCCCTATCCTCCCCTCCAGGCCAGTCCGAGCATCTGCTCCCCTGAGAATAATGAGGGAAGTGCACACCTGGAGGAAAGCAGCTCCTCCCCACCCCGCAAGCTCCACCACCTGCTCCCACCTCCTACTCTGAGGGATGAGGCTGCTGCTCAGGTGGGTTCTGAGGGGACGCCAGGGGCAGACGTGTGGGCCCACAGAGAGAAGGGGGGCTGTTAGAAGTGCGGGACACACATGTCCAGGTGCGTGCAGAGTTAAAGCAAGGTCGGGAGCAGCCAACAGCAGCGTTCACACTCCGGGGCAGAGCAGGCAGCATTCAGAGGCCTGGCGATGCTGGCCGAGAGCAGACTAGCTGTGCCGTCGGCCAGCTGCAGGTGGCTCCACACCCGCCAGAACCCAGTAGAGCACCTGCCCTGGAACAGCCATGCTGCATGACTGTGATGCAGGGAAGGTAGGGGTGGCAGAGTCTCCTCTGGGGCAGAAGGCTGGGTGGGGTCACACCAAGGTCAATGGCACCATCTGGACCCCACCCCCACAATCCTCATGGCCCAGTCCCCACCCCCACCCTGGGCTCTGCAGTGCCAACGTCCTTGGCCACTAGTGCCCGAAGTCCAAGCCTGAGCAGGCACAGTGTGAGGTCCGTGTGGAGAGAATGGACACCGCTGCACAGGGCACAGGGCTTCCCACCACCCCCAGGGAGAACGTTAACATGGCGGATGGACAGGTACCAGGGCCCAGCAAGTTCTCATGACCACCGTCTCTGGGCTCTTTAGCAGCAGGGACACAGGACCGAGCTGGTGCCAGGCACAGGTGCGTGGAGTTCGACAAGATGCTTAAGACACGAGTCACCTAACCTGTTTCGGAGTCTTCGCTGTCAGAGGAGCTGGACTCACTGGAGCTCTCCGACTCAGAGGACGAGAAGCCCTTCATCTTAGAGGAGCCAGCAATCACATCGACTTTCTCAGCTGCAATCCAAGCAACAGGAAGCGTGTCAGGCAGGGCCCTGATCCAGGAAAGGATGCCATAGCCACAGACATACCCCACCCACCGGGCGGAAGGACCAGTGGGAAGCCTGTGCCCTGTGAGCTGATGAGGGCTGCTCCTAACCACCAGCTGCCATCGTCCAAGGCCCTGGGTGGCCCCTTGGTTCCCACTGGTAGCCTGCTGTACACTAGTCAAAGATTCGGCTTTTGGTGGAAATTCAAGGCCCCTCCAACCTCTCAGAATATCCTTTGGGGGGTTTATCAAGGATCCAGAGACCAGGCAAGGAGTAATTTCCTAACACAGTTACTGCTGGGCTTGGGTTTTCTCAGTTACTTTTCTGGGAGGGAGTGAAGAGGACCCAAAGGGAACATGACACCCAGACACAGAGCAGGATAAGGAGAGAGCCCCGGGGCTTTCCTGGCATGGATGTCCAGTGCCTGAATGTCACCACGTGGTATACCCCAAGGAGAGGCTCAAGGACCCCACAAGCCAGTCTGAGCAGGGATCAAAGGCCGTGTGCAATATCTTGACACAGATCCTAAGTCCCACGTCTCAACAGAAAAGTTGTGAGCTAAGACGGGGCATATATAACACGAAAGAGATGCTTGGAAGAGTGTCCCCAGAAGGGGTGCCATGCCAAGTTGTCCTTGCTGGAGAAGGACAGAAGCCACCGCATCAGCACACAGGCCCCTAAGGCACTGCAGACATGTGTTTTCTCGTGGCCACGTGCCACAAACCATGCCCCACAGAGGCGGGAGGTGGTTTTCAGGGCGGATTCAGCACCAGTCAGCTGGGATGAAAGCAGCTGCTGCTTAAAGCAAGGGTCAAGACACCGAGGTTTGGGTGGATTCAGACAGCCACCAGCTAAAGGAGTCTGGAAAGGCACTTGATAGCCCAGGGCTGACTGTGACCTTCCGGAAGTTTCTATGTCAAGGGCACAGATTTTTATAATTAGAACAAAAGCCTGCAGAGGGAAAGGGCTGAATGAGGAAGGGATAGTTAACTGAGGGTGCCCATGGGAAGGACCCCCAAAGCCCACAGGGCCCTAGTGCACCTTGAGGTTTCCTTTTCTTCCGCAAACAGGAGGTGACATAGCGCTCCAGCTCACGCAGCGTGGACGGCTTCAGGGTCTCAAAATCGATCTCGATCTCATCAGGGTTGGAGTTCTTGAGCGAGGGCTCCCGAGACTGGATGATGTGCACCACGCGGCCCAGCTTCTCGCCAGGGAGCTTGTTGATGTCCAGGCTGAGCTGCCGCTTCTCCTCGTATGACATGGGCTTGCACTTGTCCTCCTCCTCCGACTCGTATGCAGGAGGGGGCTTGTTCTTCATGGGTGCTGGCTCCTTCTTGCTATGAAGGGACGATGCAGACACTGTCAAGAGTGGGTCCCCTGAGGAAGCCAGGCACTCATTCCTCTATGTGAGTGGGCGGCTTCCCACACCCCACCTGCTGGCCTTCACAGTAAACAGGACGTGGGCAACTCGACCCCCGGGAGCACCCAGTGGAGAGTGAAAGCAAACCATGACCCCAGGGGCTGCTGGAGGTGGGGCTGTGCTGTGGCCCCGAGCCTGCGTCTGCACCACGCTATCCCCCTTCACCAAAGCACTGAGCTCCAAAGGCTCACCCCACAGAACAGGGCAGAGAGTGCGCAGCTAAGTCCCACACCTGAGAGCTGCCAGCCCCGTTGGGCTAGCTGATGCTGCAGAGGGTGAGCCCCTCTACCATGTGGGCAGAATGGGCCAGAGGGCCCAAATGGCCTCAAAGCAGCCCCTGGAAGAAGGGTCCCCACCCAGGGCAGACTTGGGGGGCACAGACCTCGCATTGCTGTTGCTGCTGTTATTTTTCTTTGTCTTTTTGGGAGGAAGTTCCTTGGCTTTGCTTTTCTTATTCTCTTCCACTTCCTCTTTCTTTTTGTGCTTTTCTTTTTTCTTTTCCTTCTTGTCTTTCTCCTTTTTCTTTGGTTTGTTCTGCTGGGGCTGCGAGAGGGCTGCAAGCTGCTCGTGCACGGCTTTGAGCTGCAGACCAGACAGACAAGACACACTCAGGGCTGAGACCTCCTTCCCAACACACGAGGCCCAGGCATCTGCTCTCAACCACATGGTACAGCGTGAAGCCCCGGGCATCAGGGTGCGGGCATGAGGGAGGCAGAGGGAGGGCTGGCCCTCAGCTCTGTGACCCACCATGGTAACCAGATTCCCCAAGTGCCCATGCCCTGAACCCCAAGGATTGCTGGTGTGCTCCATGCCAGAGGAGCTGCTCAAGACGACAGATGCTAAGCCCGGTGGCCACCCTAGTCCCAGGAGGAGGGTCCCTAAGAGGCTGGGCAAAACATACATATCGGGCACTAAGGGCTTGATGACTGGCTTGCAAGGAGAGAGACAACCAGGCAGGCCCAGGAGAGACAGACATCCTAGCTCGATCTCTTCCTTCCAGACACTGGAAGGATTCAGAAGTCTCATCTCTACCCATAAAACAGCCAAGCACCCCCAACCTCGACACATACAGTATACATATGTGCATGATCAACATGCACTCGACCTAGCAGAGGGGAAGAGGCCACAAGGTGATCAGTGGGAATTCTGCATCCGTGGGACCTCAGAGCCAAGAGCATCCCTTGGAACACTCTGGGGAGACTGCCCTGGTCCATGGACGCTAGGGGCCAGGAATGGAGCTGCCAGTGCCCTCACCTGCTCCTGGAGCTCAGCCAGCCGCTGGGCTCGCTCCTCCTCGGAGTCGTCAGTGGAACTGTCGCTGTCCGAGGAGCTATCGCTGCTGCTGTCGCTGGATGAGGGCGGGGCCACAACCTTGGTGGGAGGGGGCACTGCCGGGGAGGACACAGCCACCACTGGCTCCTCAGGCTCGTCAGGCATCTTGGCAAAGCGCATTTCGAACACATCCTGGGAAGGGAAAGCCACGCCCGTGAGGGCTGCTGGGTGCCCAGGTCGTGACCCAGCATCACCTTGGCCTCACTAGCTGCTGGGGCCAACTCAACAGGAAGCAATCAGAAGGTGAAAAGGGCTTCAAGCATGGTGACCCTCTCTCTGCCACTAACACGGGGTCAAGGAGCTGGCCGAGGCCCTCTAACAACTCTTTCAATACTCTTCTCTCAACTCTCACTTTGAAGAGCAAGGTGGTCCTGAGGTGGCTGGACACTCACCCCCTGGGGAACACAGCCCACCTAAGGACATGTGACCAAGGCCACAGAAGGCAGCCAGCCACTGAAGATGTCACTCTGGGGGTGCCCAACAGATGGTGGGCCAAGGGCAACCCCCAGGAAATAGCCCCTTAAGGCTCCTGCCGGGTCCATGACTCCCAGGCAGGAGGCTCTGCCTGCCTTTGGTTGGCACTCCAGTGGGAGTGGTGGGGTCTCTGGTTTTAGAGAGCCTTCCAGGCAGAACGAATAGCTCGTGCAAAGGCCCCAAGGTAGGAGTGTACCTGGCACAGAGCACGCAACCACTCGGGGGCCAGGCCCCGCGGCAGTGGGCACATGTCTGAGTCCGCCTCCCCACTCCTTAGGTCACCCACGGGACACCTAACCGAGCAGTGCCAAGCTGCTGGCTGAAGTGTCTCCAGGGTATGCAGGGCAAGGGCAGCAGGTGTGGGGGTGCCGAAGACAGACTAAGGGAGGGTGCCACCTTGTGAGGTGCAAGCAATCTAAGCGGAGGCTACAGGCCCTCACTCCAGGAGACTGAGACTCTTCGACTCTAACATCCAGGAATCGAATGGAACCATGTGGGGTCACGGAGCTCTGTGACAGCAGCTCTGTCTGGACACACAGGGCCTGGCTACGCACTGCCCACCAGCTGGCCAGTCCTGTCCTACTCTGGGGGGGGCTCTGTGATCAAGCCAGTGATGACTCAGAGGACAGGGCTGGCTTCCCAGCAGGATTCTGGGACCTACTCTAAGCCTGGAATAAACTGATCAACGTGGCAACTGACTCAAATGAAAGGACTCTTCCCCCACGTGTGTGTCGATACTTCAGAGAGCATCACATGGGTTCAAGAACCAAGACTGCTGTTGGAACCTGGGGCACACTCAACGGAGCAGCCCCAGAAGCCCTTCCTGACGGTCCAGCAGACAGGCCCTGAGGTCTCCTGTCCTAGCAGCAGGGAGAGAGGGTGCCCTCTGCTGCAGGCGTCCCACATAGCTGTGGGGCTGCTCCTCTCCCTCCAGACCACCCAGCGAGTAGCGTCCTCCTCCCAGCAAGGCGTCTGCCTGTATTCTGCTAAGTAGTTTTGCTGACCAAGTACTGGAAGGGCAGTAACTTTCTTAGCTCTTCAGAAATAAATCCTTGAGCAGGTCTGAGGGGAGGAAGAAGATACATGGGAGGGGACGACTAGAGACCATCACCACCCTGCCCACCAGGGAGAGGGGGGCCCAGGCAGGAAAAGGCAGCAGCTTCACACCAGAGCGGAGGCCCCCAGTGGGGCAAGCGGGCAAGCCCCCAGCGCTGCGGCAGCTGGCCACGTGCCAAGACAGCAGTGCTCCTCCCCACCCGCAGGGCCGTGGACGTGGGTAGGCTCGGGGCCCCGACTGACTCCAAGGGGCAGCAGGTTAGAGAAGCAAATGTGCCTCAGAGTGACAGGACATCATGAAGGGAGGTGACCACCTCTCCTTCCAGGTCAGAGGGAAGGCCCTTTATCAAGTGCGAGCTGCTTCAGGCCACTCTGTCTGTGAGCTTGGTCCCCCCAGTCGCCCTGCCCAGCTTAGAGACAGCACTGCCCCTGCTGTGAGGACATGCGCACTTGCGCTCCAGATTGGGGCTGCTGTGCGAACGGGGAGCTGGGGCAGGCGGCACTCGCTCTGAGGCCTGCTGTTCCCCGGGTGCTCGTGGCCCTGGCCTTCCTAAGGCCCCAGACCAAACAGCATGGAGTACAAGACAAGATGCCAGGGGGATGAGAAACCAGCATCAGGTGGGGCTGGGGCTGCTGGTGTCCAGCTATACGACCCCATCACCCTCCTGTCTATAGGACGCGAGAACCCTGCTCTAGCCCAAATACAAGGTGTATCGGGACACTCATGTCTGTGGACCCAGGGCTGCTGCAGGAAAACCTTGCTGGGTGGCTCCAATAGTCCCACGTCTGCCCCCAAGCACCAGTTCTGTGGTCCACAGGAATGACGAAATCCCACCCTCCAGGAGCTCAAAGTCTATGGGAAACAGAAAGCCCCGCGAGTGGTGAACAATGGTAAATGTGCTCGGTGCTAAGGGGGAGACAGCAGGGTGTGCTGAAACCTAAGCACAAAAGGTGGACCCCAGGCCACATGCCGGAAGACAAACGCTGCTGCAGAGACCAGGCAGGATGGCACCAAGAAGGGAAAGGACAGAGGGGCAAGAACGAAGTCAGGCTGCCGTGGGGCCAGCGAGAAGACAGTGAAACCCAACAAGATGCACTGAGGCAGGTGTCTCCTGAGGGAGGGCAGTGGTGGTGAGGAGCAGCAGACCCCCAAAGGCAGAACTCATCGGGGAAAGGGGGCCCAGCTCCCCGCCCAGCATCCCATCACCTGCAGCCCGCTCCTCTGTGGGTCATGATGTGCTTCGTGACCTCAGCACACCCCACTGGCTCTAGACAAGTATCTGTTCTTGCTAGAATTGTGAGCAGGGTCGCCTACCCTGGGTTACATCACGGGGGAAGATCCACGGGGGAAGCCTCCCCCTTTAATAAAATAAACATGCTCAGGTGCTAGGAGGCCGCGGGCAGCGGGAGGCCCATCAGGTGCTGGTGACACGGCTGTGAGGGGAAGACACGACACACACACCCCTACCTCAAAAGCTTCCTGCCTCCGGGATCTAACGCAGATCCCAATATACTTTTCAGTTTACTTTTCTCTGCTGTAAAAACAATTATATACCTCCTCGAATTTGCCACTTTTTTCTTGAAATAAAACTCTGGTAGCCCCATAGGTCACAATCACTACCCAACTTCCTAAATACTCTTCACAACAGAGAGTGAAGGGGGGTGCCACCAGCAGCCCTAGGCCCACCAGCTGTGCCAACACCCTTCAGTCCAAGCCACCCTTGGCCTCCTAAGGAAACCCTGACCCCTGAGGCGCCTGGTCATCTTTGAGGCCATAGTTGTCAGGCCTAGCATTCAGAAGCTGGAAGAGGAAAATCAAGTGGATACTTTCCATGCAGCTTTCCAAATAAATCCTACAACTTGAGCACAGTCTAATTAACAGATCTAATTAAGCAGGTCCCAGAACCCCTTAAAGAGGTGAATGAGGGCTGGGGCTTTGTTCTTTCCTGTCTGTGATGAAGAAGCTAGCTCTCTAAACCATGCCAATATAGAAGAACTCACAGAGAAAGAAGAAAAACAAGCCTCAAATGCCACAAACACAACTGCCCGCCAGGAGAGAAGCCTGCCCAGGAACAGCTCCACGTTGACTCTGTTGCCAAAGCAGAGACACCCCCATCCATCCACTGGTGTGAAGAGGTGACCTGCCCTGGGGCAGGCAAAGAACTCTTCTGTTAAAGAGGCTGCTGTGTGGCAGACATCTCAGTGGCCTCGCGTGCTACAGGTGAACTCCATGTTTAGGCAGACTCACTCTACTTCCAGACAGAGAAAAATGCCAAAAAAGAGGGGAAAAAAAAAAAAAAAAAAAAAAAACTTTTACTGGAAAAGCAGAGATTTGTTGAAAAGGAGGTGGCTCCAGGATGTCAGTACGGGACAAGAAAAGAGAGACACAAAAATTAGGAAGAGAGACCTAGAACACAGGAGAGGTGTTTTCTCTTTCTTTTCCCTTTCTTTTAATAAAGTAGCTCAAAATAGCAATCTTTGGTGCTGGTAGATGACGCGTGCTTTGGTTTAGCTGTTTCCATGAGGGCAAATAAAGGGTACAGGTATCAATCTGGGTAGTGTGGGCAAAGCTACCCCCATCTTCCTGAGAAAGTGGGAGGGAAAGATGGAGGAGCCTAAGGCACAAATCTGAAGGCACCACTGCCACCACGTGGCCCTGTGCAAAAATTGCATTAAAATTTAAAAAGCCTCAACTTCAAGGGTGGGAAATACAAACATAAACAACGAAGGGGCAGTGGTCTTTGTGAAGAAAAAGCACACAAACAATACCAAATTGTAGAGAGAGCAAACCCCCACCTCCAGAGTCAGAGAAAATAAAACTAAGGAACGACCAGTAGAAATACAAACCTTAAAGTCTGAGCATGCACTTAAATAACAAGAGCCAGGTCCATACTAGTAAGAACGAGCCCAACCAACCTCCCAAGGGAAGTGGTTTTCTGCTACATCAAGAATGTGAGGCCATGTCCTCTGAACCAAAGGCAGCCCCGGGGGCGGGGGGAGGGGGGTGCCTTAGGCAGTGGAGGAGGCCGGGGTGCCGCGGCGGTGGTGAGTCTGGGAGAACTCATGGAACTAGCAGACGCTGGAGGGAGGCGGGCAGTGGGGCTCAGGCGACCTCTGCCTAGCACAGACACCACCAAGGGCTGCGCAAGCATCACTTCTGCCTTGGAAGCGCTTCACAGACGCCCCTCAGAGCGCACAATGACACTTCACCGACAGCAGGTAGCCCAGCCACACGGCCTTCTCTGACCCCAAGAGCAGGAGCAACCCATGGCCTTGGGGAGAAGAGGCTGGCAATCTTTATGATTGTGTATGTATAATTTGAAAGAATTAAAAGATTATGGAAATACTAAATATTGACTTTATTCTCCAAAATTTTTAACCCACCCAATCTTACTAACCAAAGGTAATCACTATTTAATCTTGGGTGTGTATTCTTCCCTTTTTTAAAACAAAGAAAGTGCAGTTAGTTTACACATCTACGCTGCAATCTGTCCCCCTTCCCTGCTCGCATGTGCACTCTGCAGTGTGCACCGCCTGGGACTTTCCACTTCAAGGAAAGGGCCCATGAATACCACCCACCAGGGAACTGGGGTCACGGGGAAACAGCCAGTCTGCAACTAAAAGGTAAAACAAAGGGTTTCAAGGCTCTGGTGAAGAAATACCCACAGCCAAGCAGTTACTTCAGCTTGTAACCGTGACGGCGTCTACTACAGGCCAGAGTGCCCCCTGCCAACCTGAGACAGGTCTGTTTTTGAGAAAAGACTGACCCCATGCACAGCACACACATGCTCTTCTGGCCAAACTGCCCAGTGTGGGTGGAGGATGGGGAGAGGGCTTTCGGTGGGACACGCCAAAACACCACCAGCCGCCACCCTGCTTTAATAATAATTAAATAATCCCAACTGAAAGCACATCCATCAGCCTGAGCTGAGTGCACTTTTCCAAAGCAACATGGCATCATCCTAGGAACACAAGAGAAATAAAATCTGCCAAAGCCCATAGAGGTCTGGTCACACCAGGACGTCAGTCTGCTCTGCTGCAGGTGGCCATGCCGTCCTTAAAGCCTCACCTGGAGCTTGCGGGCCATGGCCACCACCTCGTGGTCGGGAGGGTTGTACTTATAGCAGTTGGAGAACATCAATCGGACATCAGCACCAAATTCCTGAGCATCGCGGTACTCACGGGCCTCCAGTTTCGACTGGAAAACAAGATAGGTCCCCATTAGCCATGACCGTTCATGTTCCAACAGGGAGGTGAGGCTTCTCAGTGGCTCTCTTGGTTTGCTCCAGACCCTAGTAGGGGGACAGGCCATACCCTAGTTCTCAGCATCAGGTGGATGAGGAGACACTCAACAGCAAGTCTCAGGGCTGGGAACTTCCCTCCCCGCATCCGAGCTCACCCACCAGGATCCCGCGCCTGCCTGAAGGGCAGGGGGACACAGACTCCACAGAGGAGGCAGAGCTTCAGCTAGAACCGAAGGAGAGAAGAAAGGAGGGCTGGGACCAGTTCTGATTTGGCACATGCTTGTCTTGCCGACACGGTACAGGATGCTGGTCAAAGGGCACAGCCTTGTCCCCTACTCTGGCTACACCATATTTGGGCAGACTTACACCACTACCAGAAGCAGAAAAATGCAAAAGAATCTTAAAACCAACAAAACCAAAAAGGCCTTAAAACACTACAGTGAACACGCCAGCACGTATAGCGTGCCTTCCACACAGAGGGGCCTCTCCAGCACAGAGCGCCTGGCAAAGTCACCAAGCCCTGAACTCTCATGGAGCATCTCCTCTGCACCAGGAACCGGGGCCCAGAGGGCTCCTCTTGCTATTCTGGGGACAAGGGGGAGGGGCAGCACAGAGTGCCAAGCACACTATCTCGGAGCACGTCCCCACAGCTCCAGGAGAGGGCGCTGAAAGGTCGGCACAGCCACATAAGTTCAGGAGCCCCAGGCCAGGGCGGGCCTGTGCTGGGCCCCCCCGCCCCCCTCACCTTGATTGTGCTCATGTCCATGGGGTGCTTGATGATGTCACAGTAGTCGTGCAGGCCCAGCGCCTCTACGTCCACGGGCTTGTAGAAGGGCCAGGCGTAGGCAGCGTGCTTCTTAGCAAACATCTCCTTGAGGATGCCGCTGCAGCACTTGAGCTGCTCAGAGACCTTGCTGTTTTTCTCCGGTGCTGGGTGCTGCTGAGAGTCGGGCACGTCCTTCTTTGGGGGTTTCACAGGCCGGCTGCTCTCCCGCCGGGGACCCACTTTGGTGGTCTTGGGCTCCGGGGGCAGTGAGGGCGGCTCGTGAATGGGGTCGATAGTGGTGGGGGTGGTGGTGTCTGCTTTCCTCTTCACCCCCTTCTTTGTCTGCCAGGAGCACAGGCGTGACAGGCACAGTCAGAGGTGGCACAGCTGCCCCTCAGGGTCACCCCTGAAGCCCGGCCCTATCTAGGGTCCCAACACTCGCAGATACAGGACTGAGAACAGGGAGATCTTATCCCACAACTCTGCTCTGCAGCTAGGACGGGTCCTGCCAGCGGCAGGAGAAGGTGCACAACTGAGCGCAGGAGCCGCTCACTCGGAGGCCACAGAACCTCCTGAAGCCGTTTCCTACCTACCACCAGGGACCTCCCCGCCAGTGCCCATGGGGCAGAGGGACACGATTCAAAGAGTATTTAGACGGTTATCTGCAAATATATACAGTCTAAATTAGAGACGGGGCAGGGACCCACTGGAAGCTGTGACATGATTATGGGATCTTTGGGTCAGTAGAGCAGCCGCTTCTGGACTGTGATTTAAACATGGCATGATCCACCCAGAAACACCCACCAGTGCCTGGGAGCCAGGACAGGCTCTACATAAAGCACAGGCAAGGACAGGGCCACCTGTCTCCTGCAAGCCCCTTGTCCTTGAAGGCAGCAGCCTGTCAGCACCCAGACGCTCACCTTCACAGGCTGTGGGGTGGCCGCGATGATGGGTGGGTGGCTCTGCACGGGCTGGGGGGCTGGAGTGGGTGGGGGTGGTGGCTGGGGGGGCACCGGTGGGGGCGTCTGCAGTGGCTGGGGAGGCACCACTGTCATGACAGGGGTCTGGACGATGAGATCTGGGGTGACAGCAGGGAAGGGGTGAGGTGTGGCCTGCACGGGTGGAGGATTCTGTTGAGGGGTCTGGGTCTGTGGAGGAGTTGATGCTTGAGTTGTGTTTGGTACCATGGAGACTCCAGGTTTTGCCGTCCCTGCCAATCATAAAAAGGACAGAGAGTCAGACGCTGTGGGGACAACCACAGGGACAGCACCACACATGGCAAACACCCATCTGCCTGAAAGACAGAACTTCCACACACCCCAGACTTCACTTTGCCAAACCTGTCCACCTGCCCCCAGTGCTCAGGGAGCAGTGGCAAACTGCATTTCCCGCTTCCTGGGGCGTCCTGGCAGCAACTCCCAACTTGGGCACAAAGACCCCTTCATAAAGTGAGGAGGCCTGGGCTGAAGTCGCAGCAAACACATGCTGAGTGTGGACACTGAAACCGTGGACGCGGAGCAGCAAAATGCTCCTTGGCGCCTCCAGCCACAGCTGCCCTCGATTCCAGAAGCGCTTGCTTGGTGAGTAAGCACTTCTGGCAGGGGGCTGGCAGTGGCTGCCCTCACCAAGGTTTCTGGAAACTGGCAGGCCCCGACCTCCCAGAGCCAAAGGGGGCGGCTGGACTACAGCTGCCCTTTGTGACTGGCTTGGGCTGCCTCCCAGCAGCTGTGCAGGCAATCCTGAGCACACAACAGGCACAGGCACGGCCAACCAGCTCCAAACACAAGCGGTTATGACTAGAGCTCTCACATGGGCAGGTGGACCAGGGCATCAGAGTCCGGGAGCACAACCCGGACTGCCACATCCTTTGCATGCACGTGGGCTGCCATGAAAATGGACTGATACTTGGTGCCTCAGAAAAGTAGCCTTCACCTGTTGGCTGTCCTTGGGCAGCACCTAGGTTACCAGTGTGCATCAAGGAGCAAGGGCGAGGTTCTGCTCAGGGTTCCAATTCTCCTTCCCCAGGCGCCACTCCTGGCTTCTCCCAGACTGGGACAGAGAAGCTATCACCGTGTCTGCCCAGCATGTAGCCCAAACCCCTGGTCCCAGAGTTTGAGACCGGGCTTCTAAAGTAAGGAAAAGGGATATGACCTGACATGTAAAACAGCCAGGGAAGGGGTGATACGCAAACGCGCTCTCCTTGGTTACCCCTGGGCACTGCAGGGGAGCCAGCCATCCCCCTTTCCGCCACCACTTCAGAGCAGGGTGGGGCCAGGGGAGGGAGAAGCAACTCACACCCAGGGAGCACCTTGCACACATCGCCCTTCTGCAGCATAGAGCCGCAAGGGACACGACGCAGACAGCAGCTGTTAAGGGATTTTCCTAGAGAGAAACATTTCTTTGAGTGGGCAACTCTGCCAGCTGGCCTCTGGAATCCCGCATCAAGGCAGAAGGGGGGAACTGAGAGGGATGACATGCAGACACAGACAAGGACGGCTTAATTTTGCCTTCAGATGACCAGGCAGGCATGCTTCTGATAGGCATGCACTAAGATAATTCAAATAACAAACCTCAAGGATTGGGATATTAGTTAAAAATGCTTCTGGTCACCTTGATTTCGTTAAAATGGAAAAGCAAAAAAACCACCTTGCTTACACTTTCTTTATAACCTAAGTCCATCCACAACCCTCAGAAAAGGCAGGGCCAAATCATTTCTGCTTGGGGGAGGCGTGACCCTGTGGGTGGCTCCAACACTGAAATCGCTCCCACTCCGACCAAACTGTAGCCAACCAGTCAGTAGATACTGTCTGTCTTCCCGCCATTCCCAGTCCTCCCCTGAACTTGGAAAAGGGATAGAGCCGGGGGAGAAGTACAGCCGACGTACTCGCTATTTCAGTACTCTACCTGCTTCTTTCCTCCCACGTCCTCTTCCTTTTGCCTGGACTATCATGATCTCGGTTTCTTCCGTGGGTAGTTCATTGATTTTTTGCAAGAAGAGCTTCTCCAGAGCTTCTGCCATTAAGACTATGTCATCTCCAGGCTGGATAAGGAGACACATGGGGCAGTCAGAAAGCCCTCCCCTCCCGACCTCTGTAGACAGGGCACCCCGTGCGCCACCCCCTGCCCCAAAGCCTGAAGCGTTGTATTCAGGGTCCTTCCCCAATCTGTACCCCAAGGAGCCATGATGGCTAGGCTACCAGGTATCACGGAGGCTTGTGCTCCTACAGGTGTGCTGAGCCTGCACCTGTCTGCCTGCACTTCCCTTTCTCATCTTTTAAGCTCTGGGCTGTCTACGAAACCATCCTAATGCCTTAAGCATCTACCAAGCTCAGCCAATCACTGACCGGGGCTCTCCCTGCATTAGGACCTCCTTTGACTCATTTTGACTTCACTAGAAATACGTGAATGACACAGGATTTCCTGCCAGGATACTTTAACAGGGCCCCAACTGTGCTCCCCAAGGTACCCCCAAGGCAGCTCACCAGGGCTCTTGGGCACTGTCCATCTCACACTGCTTTAGGGGTCCCCACTCTGTCACTTCGTCCATAACATGCTGTGCCCACTCAGCTAGACTGAGAGCCTGGTGTGCACATTTCGCTCAAACCTAAGTGGTGAGAGCTGAGACTTTAAAAAACACAGTAAACTTCAAGAAACTCACCTACCCATCTCTTCTGGGCCATTTTACCCACTACACCAGCAGAGGTCAAAAGCTGAGTTCTGTATAGTGTCTCCCTCCAGAGTCGTTCTATTTGAAAGGGTTGATTTTAATCACATCTGTGGTCTGAACTGTAAACAAATGATCTGGCTTCATGGCACAGCCGAGCCGAGAGGTTTGGCTACGGGGTTAGGAAGTGACCTTCAGGTCTACAAGTAAGATTAGGGGGACACTCGATTCCATGGCAACAGTCACGTCCACAGTTCTAGGAGACCATCACCCAGAGCAGCTGAGCTCTGCGCTGGCCCCATCACACCCTCTCTCACATGGAGGTCTCTGTTTGTGCACACCTCTGCACAGCTACGTTGTAGCAGGCTCTTTCCTGACCATTTACGTCACCCAAATGGACTTTGATGGGACATCACTATCCGCCTCACACCTTCTCTACTAGACATGCTCAGGAACCAAAATCCCAAGGGCTTCAGAAGCACATGCTTCAGGCTAACAAGGACGGCTTGCAAGTTAAACTTGGCAGCACCCTCCTCCCCACAAAAGAAACACACCCAGTCACAGGCACAACCACAGGTCCCGTTACCTCCACCTCCAAGGGTCTTCTCCTGCCAGACTCGAAGCCCGGCAGCTGGAAGCACCCCTGCCCACTGGCTCCTGACACGCCCGCCGCCTCCCCCAGGGCAGCTGGACGCTTGCCCCCACAGCTCACCTTGTTATAGATGTAACAATTTGTAAACATAGTGTTGAAGTCCTGGATACATTCCTGAGCATTCCAGTAATAGTTGTTTTCCAAGCGCTTCTTTATTGTTCCCATATCCATAGGTGTTTTAATGATCTTATAGTAATCCTGGAGAGCAGAGAGCAAAGGGCCAGTGTCACCTGAGCAGCCGCATGGTGCGCACGCTGGGCTGGCCGGGCTGCTCCACAGGTAAACCGACAGGAGCTATGGCACAGGCTGAAGCCCTTCCTCGGCATCGGCGAGGGATAAGAGGGGACTCAAGATAAAGTGGATCAGGGAAGGATTCCCAAATGCTGGTTGGCAATTTGGAGGGAAAACGTACAAGTTAGCTAATGGTCCTATCTTGGATCAGGTTGTCTTTATCAAAATTTATGTTTTTTTCTTTTCTTTTCGATGTTGAAATATTTTTTCATTTTTAATAAATAACGTGGAAAGCAGATGGCTTTTTAAAACACAATTATTACCTAGTAAAACAACGCGTGGAAGGTAATACTTTGTCCCTGCCATTTAAAATTTTACAGGTCCATAAAATGCAAATCCCCATGGCGCCAGTGTTGGAGTCCACCCATAGCCACCGCACTCCCCACTTCCTGTCACGCTGAAGAACCTCAGTCAAGTTCACTGGACTTACATTTCTTTTACTTACCCAGACTACCACTAAGGTTTCACTAGTATCCAGACGTGGTATAACAACTAATCAGGTTAACTGCCAAATGAAGAATCTGGACAGCTTTAGAAATCCTCAGTTAAAAAAAATATATCCAGACCCAATCCTCAAACCTTCAGATCTTACTCTTCAAGCGCCACACAGGAGCCAGACAGCAGGTATAAATATCTTATAACCCTCAAGGAGGTCAACTCTGCACTATCCTCACAACTTTCCTCTAACCATGAACCTATTTTAAAATGAAGTTTATTTTTGAGAACTACCAGAGGAATTTGGGGCCAGATCAAGCAGGGCCCGGGTTTCCAGGCTGGAGGACCAAAGAGGGCCAGCGGGGGGCTGCACACAGACAGCAAGCCCCCGGTGGCTGGCCCAGCTCAGGCCTCTCAGAACGTTCCATTGAGAACCAATTCTCTGCAGCTAGTACCTCCCACTGAGGACAAGTGGGGTCCCAATGGCAGAGAAGCAGGCTGGGGGCAGAGAGGCTGCTACAGGAGGAGAGAGCTACCCACTGTCCAGAAACAGTGGACAGTACTGGAAAGGCGAGCATGGGGTACCGGGTTTTGACCTGCTCTGACACCCATGAGAAAGGGGTGGAAGCCATCCACTTACAGGTAAAGGGCTGGCACAGGTCACGGCCCTGCCCTGGTAAGGGCTTAAGTACACACCCAACCGCCCCAGGCAGGTGGCCAGGAGGGGAGACTTAAACAGAACTTTCTATGCTCTGACCTCCTTTCCCAAGAGAACCAAGTCCAAATACATCTGCCCCAATGGAAACTGAGATTTTATCCTATGGCCAAAGGTCTCCAAAAATGGTTGGGAGGAGGCGGAACAAAGGCAGAATACTGGGGGTGAGGAACCGACAGCGGGAGCAGTGGGTTTAGGGGCATGAAAGGAGGCCAAAATGCAGGTGAGTATCTGTAAGGCATCAGAAACCAGAAAAAGGAGGACTTTTTTTTTCTTTTTGCTCACCTTATTAACATCTCCTGAAGGAGGGGGTCCCCCAGAAAACTAGGCTTTAGCATGATGATGCTCCCAAGCAACCAGCCCCTTTGGGTCAGCCGGCACCAGTGCCTTGAGAGCACTTGCGCAAAGCAACCTCCCTCCTGGGCCCCTCAGTCTCCAGTGTCTGAAAACATCAGGTTGGTGCCACCATTAATCGTCCCCTTCTTCCTATGTCAGAGCTGCTAAGGGCAATGTCCACGGTTACCGGGACAGGTGCATTCAGAGTCCTGGCCTCCTCGGGAGCCCATCCTCCACTCCAGAGATTGACCATGAACTCCCAAACCCCTTGGCCTAACTGACCACCCACAAGTGTTTGTCCCGCTGGCCAGCACCATTCCCTCCATGTCACCTATGACGCTGCTGCCTCCCCGGTGATCTCAAGTCCTCCAGCCCTGTTTCCATTCTCAGCCCTCAACGCCTCAGTCCCCTATGCGTTTTCCTGTAACAAACCGACCCCTCCGCTCTCCTGGCCCCGACACGGTTTCCCTTCAAAGCCAAGCTTCTCGAAATGGTGGCTCTGCATCCTCACCTTCTCATTCACACTGTGGCAAGTCTGGTTTCTACTTTTGCATCACATCGTCCTAAGGTCACCAATGCCCTCCTAAAGGCCAACAGGATGGTCAGGTCGGAATCCTCACCTCTCTGACCCCCCTGTAGCCTACAATGTGGAAATTTGGGAAACTGCGCTTTTCTGGAGTCCTCTGGCTCCACCACCCCCCAAAAGCCTTGCTGCCCCATGGGTTCTACCCCCTCTAACTACATCTCTCCTGGTTCTTCGCATTTGCTCTGAGATGTCACTCTCAACTGTGGGCCCTGCCCAGCCCAGCTGGAGACCAACACAGCCTCTCCTGAGGGACCTGCAAGATACTACGGCCGACTGTCTCCGCTTCTTATCTTGGTCAGTGGCCAGTGTGGCCCCTCTTCTGCCTGCACCCCTTTCCAGAGGCAGTTCATGACCCAGATCTTCAGTGTCCCCTCCCAATTCTCTCTTCCCCCGAGTACGTGCGACACATATCCAGTGGACAGATAGCACTGGACAGGTGTCACTTTCAAGCCAGGATGGTCACACTGGAGCGTTCATTCTTCTCGAGTCTGGATGCCTGACAGAGGCTAAGGCTGCCCTGCACACAAGCAGTCCCAGCACCTGCAGATCCAGTCTGTGCCAGCAGCTACGACCACCTAATCCACTCGCCTGGGGGTATATGGGACCCAGCAAACAGCAGAAGGCAGTTCAAAGACAAGGAAAAAGAGAAAAAAAATTAAAGCATGTATTATTCTGCCTGCTCCCTGAAGCTCAGTGAGAGATGTAAGTTGTGCTTGCAGAACTGTCTGCTAGGGACATGGGCAAGCTGAAAACTCTAGAGAAAGAGAAGAGGGGTGGGGGTACAAAAGAACAAGAGCAAGGGCACTGCAGCCATGACAGGGAGGGGAGCACAGCTGTGCAGCTACAGCCAAGGCCACCTCTCAACTCGCCCTCTCCAGCCAGGGCCACCTCCATGTATCTGCTCCCTGGGAAAGAATCTACTACCTTTCCCTACCCTGTGCCCCAAGTGGTACTGCTGCTGCTAGTGACCACCACTGGAACAAGCCCTTCCAGCACAGTCTGACCAGCCACATCTACTTCTCCTGGGCCTAGCTGGCCACACCTGAAAAGAGAAGGGGGCCAAGTTGTCCACGTGCTCTGACTTCAGCTCACCATGGGACTGGAAGGAATCTGGGAGCATCCCATCCCCCCTTGTTTCAACCTTTACACAATTTTCCCCAGGATCCTGATGTCCAAGGAACCAGTTACTGTTTAAGCCAATTAGCTCACTCATTCTCCTCCCCGTCTGCGATTCTTCAAGACTGCTGAAACCACTCCCTCAAGGGCCCTGCTGGTGCTGGCATTCAGACCTGGGCCCTGAGCTCTCACCACGACTCCAAATGCGTCTCCATCCTCCCCGGGAGCCTGCCTTCACCAGCAAACTTGCAGGAGGAGACCTTCAGGACCCCTGGGCCCTGCCCAAGCTACTCACAGGGAGGTTTAGCTTGACGGCGTCCACAGGCTGCTGGAAAGGCCACGCAAACTGGTGTTTCCATAGTGTCTTGAGCACCACTCTGAGCAGATATTGCAGTTGGTTGGTCTGCCTCTTGGGCTTGTTGGGGTTGGAGGTCTCCGGGGGTGGAGGGTTGGTGCTGGCTGTGTTGGCTGGCTGGGGTTGGGCCTGGGCCTGCGTTGTAGACATTTGGGAAGTTTCTAGTCCATCCCCCATTACTGGCAGATTTCTCAATCTTGTCCCAGGGCCGCTCTCCGCAGACATGCTAGTGATCCCATCACATTCTTCACTGGGTACTCTACAAGGAAGAGAAGAGTCCCCATCAGAGACCAGTGAGCAGACAGGTACCACGGTAATGACAAGTCCCTCTGACTGTGGCCTCCAAGGACTGAGCTTTGCTGGCAGTAACTGGTCAGGTCGGCTGGGGGAGCCACTCCATGCACTGCCTAAAGGGACCCACTGCCTGCTGCTCTCAGAGACTCACCATCCAGCAGGGAAGAAAACTGATGCACCAACGGAGGGGAACAGGGGTGGAGGTAAGAGCTGAAGAGGGGCCAGCAGGGGCTCTGGGAGCTATGGAGTTTCCGAGGAAGGAGGTACAATAAAGCCACGTCTCACAAACCTGCACCTCCCTTTCTCTACCTGCGAGCTTTTTACCGATGCTGCCTGTGTGTGGGAGAGGAAGATTTGCAGGCCCTCAGGTATGATATTCACATTACTATTCTTGTTTGCATCTGTGGCTCAGGAGGTATGGAGACTAGTCAGTAATTCCATTTGGTGGGCCAGGCAGGGAGGGGCGGGAAGGCCAGGCCCACCCACCCTTGATGGTCCACAGAGTCCACTGCCAAGTGCTCAGGGCAAAGCCTCAGGCTGAGAACATTTTCTTGGTAACTTAAAAAATGCATGTTTGCTGATGAGAGAAATCTAAAAGTTTACTGCTGACAACATAAAAATGAATCTATACTCAACCTACCATTTTATTAACAAGAAAGGGTGCCTCCTGTGGCAACACAGGCCCCCACTACCAGTGCCTGTCTGAGCACCCCACCCCTCTGGTGCCCTCCGCACACCTGGATGACCCTGAGAGCCATGCCAGCCCCACAAACCCTGCCACCAGCATCCTTGCAAGAGTGACTTTGTATACCTGTCCGTTTATTCCAATGGGACAAACTCGAAGATGTGTAACCACAATTCAGGGGCTACACATGCCAAACTGCCCTGCAGAAACATATCACCCCACCCCTTACGGTGCTGAGAGCTCCCATACTCTAACGAACACCCACTCAAACATACACTGGCTGCCTGCATCCTTTTTGCATACTGCCTGCTTGTGACGGTTTCCTACCGGGCTGTACAAGAGACTATGTAAGCCAGGGGCTGCCTGCATCTGACAAGCATCTTCAGGAATAAAATAGGAACTAGGGGAGGTAAGAAAACCTTTCTGGCTGAGGGAGTCAGACAAGGGTTTACGAGGAAGAGTGGGCAGGCTTTAGGACCACAAGACTGGCAGACAGAGGGACAAGAAAAGACAAGGCAGACTGGCTGGCATGGCTTTCATTCTGGAACATACTTTCAGTGGGTCAAGAAATAGCTCCATGCCTAGCACATACTAGGCACCCTAGCTGCCGATGAATTACTTTGTAATTCAGTCCAAGTATAATTTAAACCAAGGCTCCCACAAACCTCCTTGTAAATGCAGTTCTGGCAAATTAGCAAATTTTAAAAGCACCAGGGGATAACTTGCTACAGAAAGCCAACTCTGTAGTCTATGTTTAGGGGCTGTGGCGAGCTGGACCTCCCAGCCTGTGGCTGGCAGGCTGATTGCCTGACGCATGGATCCTGGCCACATGCCCCCTACACCAAGGTCCCGGCTACAGGATGAGCCCACGGGCTGACAAGAAGCTGGAAAAACGAACATCTCCCAAGAGACAGCTTCTTCCTTCCACAATGTTCTGGCTGATGGCAATCACAGGTATCACCTGGCTAGAGAATGCATGAAGAGAGCACCGTTCTAAGGAAGAGGCTGCCATAGGGAAGGGACCTGTCTGGAAGGAGCCCAAGGCCACCTAGTACAAGACTCTGAGGGGAGCAGGGTGCAAATCCAACCCAGAAGTCAGCAAACAATTGGCAGTGGTGAACACACTGTACAACTGTCCCTCAGTATCTGTGGGGGTGGGTCCCAGGACCCCTCAAGTCCCCTACATAAAGTGGTGCAGTATATTAGCACATGACCTATGAATATCTATCCTCCTGTACACTTGAAACCATTCCTGAATATTTCCAGTCTGAGGTTGGTTGGATCCTTGGATGTGGAACCAACAGACACAGAGGGATGACCGCAGTTGAGAACTGAATCCTTCTTTGCTTTATTCACCAAATAGACGAGAGACTTAAGATACTTGAGTTTTGTCTATTCAGAGTGGGGATGCGACTCATTTTTAAAAATCTGAAGAATTCATTAATGTTTCAGCTCACAGGAGAGGACAACACTGTGGAAAGAAACACACTCACGCCACCTACACAGAGACGTCCAAGGAGTTGAAGAGGGAGGGCATGCTAAAGCGGTGCTGGCTAGGTGTGTAAAGGGGGTTTTGTATCCATTGCTAAACAAGTATTTCATGAGGTACAACCATGCCCACGATGCCGGGATAGAATTGACAATCTACGCCCTACCAGGGTATTCCTAGACGTGACAAGGGGACGGACAGCAACCCTTGCAGGGGGTATGCCCTACCCAGAGAACACCCAGCTCAGGAAGAAGGGGATCAGGGAGGGCTTCAGGGATGCCAAGCCACCTCCTGGTACCTCTCCCAAACACAGTGCTGGGGATGGAGAAGGGACACCCAAAGCTGAAACCAGACAGACACCTCGTGTCCCCGTTTGACAGGGACTGGAGCTGGTGACAGCTGGGCAGCAGCCTGTGGAGAGCATGCCCCCAGCAAAAAGAGAAGTGAGCCCAGGAGTACAAGATCAGACAGGGCGTTTCCCTGCAGCAACTCTGTTTGATGACTGGCCTCATGAAACACTGCAACAGCTTAACAAGCAAGCACTACAGACTCCAGTGGTTTCTAAAGGCAGATGTCCGATGGAGCGAGCCTGCTTCAGGCGATCCCCCATCCCATCAGGGGTACTTCTAGTCCAAGTCTGAACAGAACTAACTGCCCCATGGTCCCAGAAAGAAGTGCCCATGGAATGAACCAAACAAGGCTACAGGAACGGAGATGCCGCTGGTGCAAGGGAGGCGCACGAGGAGGGCCTGGAAATACGATGGCAGCTCAGGCAGGGCTGGAAGCTTGGAAAAGACAGCATGGGCCCAGGAGCCCAGAGGCCTGAGTAAACGCACCCCAATGAAAGAAGGAAGGAGGCCACACACAGATCCAGGGAGGGGGAGCACCCAGCGGCTGGGGGTTAGGTGCAAAACCTCACAAAGAGCCTGTACAGAGATGAGAAAAATACAGAGGGATAAGAGACTCAGGGCATCGGCTGAATCACATGACACTGTGTTGGAGGAGGGTGTCTGGCTAAGAACACATCACTGCCAACCAGAGAGGGGCAGCCCAGCCTGAGGAACGGTGAGAGGGAGGCAACACCCTGGAAGCAGTGTCCAGCTGTGTAAGAGATGGCATAAAGGGTGCGTCTTTGTTCCTGACGTGAATGGAAAGACAACAGGATTTGCCAAGAGTTTAGCTGCTAATGGGAGGTACCTCGACCTCAGAGAAGCAGGGTCTACAGCCACCATTAGAGTGCCATGACAGGGCTCGGAGTGGGGCTGTGGGAGGGTTTGCAGACTGTGTCCCTGAAGCCACTAGGGGAGCACAGATTGGCTGTAGGTGGATGGCATGTAATCACTCAGGATGAGTTTCCTCTCTTTCCAACTCTTTTTACTCTCATCTGACCTGACAAGGAAAGTCCCAGCCTGGTGCCAGTCTAAAAGGTTGTAGTTCAGAGGTGTTAGAAGACAATTATGTTATCTGGATAGAATCTAACAATGTCATTTTGTTGTCGTGGTATTTAATTTTACTGATTTCCATGCATGGCTTTGATATAGTCTCCTTTGAAAATAAGTGTACCATAAACAAAACAGGAAACCAATTCTTTTAAAAACACCTTTAAGTATATGAGAACCAAGATAAGCCAAGAGCAAGGCAAAGTGGTAAGGGCAGCGCAGCCTCCAAGAGAGCTGTGGGACCCCAGGGGGATCAGAGGGAGGGCTGGTCAAAGCAGAGAGGGCCTCTGGCTCCCTGAGGCTCCCCAGAGGTGAGAGCAGGGAGGGGGACAGCCAGGACAGACTGCAGGCTTCACTGAGAAGCCAGAGGCCACGAGAGTTTGCAGGGAACTGCTAGTAATACAAGCGGGAAGGGAGATGAAGAGGCAATCACAGGACGGCAAAACGTTTTTCCCAAATCCTCCCTGGCTAAGTGGATGGGGGCAATCACTTCTTTGGCAACTACAGAAACTCGAGGTGGGGGGCAGTGAGACAGGAGAAGACAAAGGGAAAAATGACACCAGCCACAAGCCAGTTCGCCGGAACCTCGGGCCCAGTGTATCAGCCTTGGTCCCGGCAGAAGGACAATACCACAGAGAAGGAAATATGTTACTGGGGTTTAAGGATGCCTGGGATCTGCTGGGAGAGGGTTTCAGTACAGAAAAACCAATATATCCAAAGGGACAGGAGGGGATGAGCTTGACATGGCCCTGACACAAGGGAAAATCTTGAAGCACTGAAGCAGCCTGGAGCTGAAGGGGGGTGGGGTGCAGCGCGTGACGTTAAAAAAAGCCATGCAGTTTGGTTTCTACCGATTTCTCACAGGGGCAGCTCAGTAAAGACACTGCTTACGCTGTGCACCGAGCACACGCCAGGTGAGCCATGGCTGTCTCAGGTGGGGGCAGGGGCAGCCCCTCCCTGGAGGGGAAGCTCCCGCCTCAGAACAGTAGAGCAGGTCAGCCACAAGGACACAGGCCACCAGGGGGCCAGCTCGTCCCACCAAGTGCAAGCAGCCTCCATAAATTTTCCATTAAGTAATGACATTCTGGAAATCTCTAAGCAATTCCCCTGAGGCAAGATGAAGCCAAGGTAACTGATTTCTAGAGCTTCTGGACTGGCCATGCCTTCTCTCTTTCCAAAGGGACTTGCAGCAAAGCCAAGGGATGGATGGAGGACTCTCTTGTGCTCTGGGCTGGTGACCACCTTTCTTTACCTTCATGCCAGGCCCAGACAGGTCCTTGAGCCAAGAAAGCGGAATTTTCTGCTCATAAGATGAAGGGATATTTTTCTACAGAAAACCTGGACTCTT